CGTTAGGACAATGGACACTTGGTGCTCAGTAAATACTGACTTCCGGAATGTTTCCAGAATGTTCTCCTCTCCCTTGTTGCCTGTGCCGTTCCCTCTTTATAGCAGTCCTCCCTCTGCTATTCCTGGTGTACCCTCGGGTCATCCTTTAGGCCTCACCTGAGATGTCACTCCCACCCGATCCAGGCTGGGTCTGGGATCCCTTCCTTGGGGCTCGCTTACCTGCAATGTCCCCATCACAACCCTGGTCGCCTGGGTGGGCACTGCTGTTTCTCTTCCGCCCAGGTCTACCCTTCCCCATCGGGGCGCTCCAAGAGGGCAGGACTGGTCTGACCCTCCCCCCTTCCCCCCCCGCCCAGTGCCAGGCTCAGAGCCTGCTGGGAGTAGCTTCCCAGAGAACACGGGCCACGTGAATACAAAAGAGGGTTTCGAGGAGCCCAGGCCTGAGTGGGGCACCCTTGGACGGTGGCGAGTGAGACAAGTGAGTGGCAGGGGCCCGGGCCACCCCTGGCTATGTCAGGGTCGGGGAGGAATCTCAACCTGGGTCCACAGGAGGGGGGGTCTGGCCAGGAAAGTTAGGGGGGCAGTGCCGTGGACACTCACCTGGGGGGCCTCTCATTCCTGTTGGGCCCCGGCTGCCAGTGTCTCCCTTGGGGCCAATGGGCCCGGGAAGTCCCCGGGCACCAACTCGGTCTGGGGGAGAAATCTCATCAGCTCTGGCCTCCTCCTGCCCCGACCCCGGCCCCCCAGCCAGCACCTACCATCTCGAGGGAGCAGCGGGGCCCTCGGGGTTTCTCTGGCTCCGGGCAGCCCTGGAGTTGGGGGGGGGGCCTGGGTCATCCAGAGTCCCTGCCCTTAGCGCCACCAGAGAAGGTGGGGGCAGGGTCTGCTGGGCCTCCCAGGACCCCAGAGAGATCAGGGACGACCCAGGCCCACAAGGGGGAGGAGCTGGGCGCCGGCAGAGTAGAGACTGGCATCTCATTCTCACGAGGGAGTGTGCTCCCCACCGACCCACTCACCTCGGAGATCTCCATCTCCAGGGCTGCCCTGGGCAGCTGGGGAGCCCCAGAGAGGGGCGGGGTCCTCGGGGGCAGCTGGGGTTGGGGGCACCTCCTGCTGGGTGACAGTCAGCACGGCCACCTGTGGAGAAAGAGGGAGAGGAAGAGAGATGGATGGGTGCGTACCAGGGCCTCATCAGGGACAGGCCAGCTGATGGGCCGCAGGCTGGGGCGTGCAGGAGGCAGCCAATCAATGATTCTCATCATTGATGTTTCTCTCTCTCTCTCTCTCTCTCTCTCTCTCTCCCTTCTTCTCTGAAATCAGTTGAAAATATGTATCTAAAAAAATGGAGGAGGTGTTCACAGCTGTCCAGTATTCCACAGCAGCCTGCTCCCTCATAATGCAACCAGCCCCTCCTGTTCTCTGGTTTTCAAATTTCCCGGTGAACAGCGAACACTTTGGTAAACATCGTCACCTCTAATCTCCTTAAGATAAACTCCCAGAGGAAGGAATAACGGAGGAGAGGGTGTGCAGGCAGAGTGTATGCCTCTACACGATCTGGGAGAAAGATGCTTACGCGTGGACGGCCCCTCTCCGGGGGAACAGGCGTGGCTGCGAATGGTGTTTGGGCGGGTTTATCACGGTGCTGAGTTTTTTATGTTTCTGAAAACACGAGGGTCTTACTTTTTAATTGTTCAAACCTTTTTGAAAGAATGTTTGAGATGTGCAAGAGATGATCGGCTTTTGAAACTGGGCGATGGGGGATAAAGGATGAAGGTGATGGGGCAAGGAGGAGCCTCGCCACGAACCCTAGGGGTGTCTACAAATATCTGGCTGGGATGGGAATGGGGGTGCAAGTGGGGGGAGCTTCGTGGGACTCCTGGAAGAAGAGCAGGCTTCCCGGGCAGGGGCACGGCGGGAGAGGCCAAGAGAGCTGGCTGGGACAGACGGGAGGGGTGGGGGGTGGCCGGCAGGGAAACTGCCTGCCCATGGATGCTGTTGAACCTTGGGGTGCAGAGAGGGGGTGGGAAGCTGGGGGACAAGAGGAAAAGTTGCTCCCCCTCCTTGGCCTCCAGTCCCTTCAGGCGCTCTGCCCAGGTCCGACCACCTGGCTGCAGGTGAAACAACCTGGAGGCAGGATGGA